TCATACGGCAACGTGCCACTTTCTTTGGATTAAATGGGCAAAATTGGATTTCTTTTTTTTTTTTTTAATTTGAGACAGAGTCTCATTCTGTCGCCCAGGCTGGGGTGCCGTGGCGCAATCTCAGCTCACGGTAACCTCCACCTCCCGGATTCAAGCGCTTTTCCTGCCATGGCCTCCCAAGTAGCTGGGATTCCAAGCGTGCACCACCACACCCGACTAGTATTTGTAGTATTTTTTAGGAGAGGCAGGATTTCACCATGTGTTCAGGCTGGTCTCAAACTCCTGACCTCAGGTGATCCACCCGCCTCGGCCTCCCAAAGTGCTGGGATTACAGCCGTGGGCCACCGTGCCTGGCGGCATCTCAGGAATTCTAATAGCACAAGGTGTCCAGTAAGTCTGAGACTAACGGGGCCTCCCAGGCCACCATGGAGAATGTATCAGAACAGCCCGGATGGAATACCGGGCGGCAGGGTGGAGCATGACCAGCGGCTGAATCACAGAGCCACAGGTAGTCTGGGAAAATCTAGTGGGAGTGTGTGTATTTTTACACGTTGACATGAAAATACTTCGCTTTAAGTTTAAGTATTTCTTGAAGTACTAAGAATAGACCCAACATAGGGGTCTCATGTTTTCTAAGAATGAGCTTTTTAAAAACTAGTTTTCGTAAATAACATTATTAAGGCCGTTGTCTTTCACAGGGACCAACTCAATTCAAATAAAGTAGCGTTTTCCAAGCCTTAGGCTGGAGAATGGGCAGGCAGCTGCCAGGACACGTGTGGCTGAGGCCAGGGGACCTTCAGCCCTCGTGGGACAGTGCCAGGCGCAGGAGATGCGGCCGGGGTGTGGGAAGAGGGACGTGGATCGTGGATCGGGGCTTCCTCGCTAAATGATGTGCGACTGCTCATTTGTGACACGTACCAAAGGATCAAATTATTCACTTGTTCTTCCTGAGGCTTAAACGAATGAACTGTCTGTTTCCCTGGCCATCCAGGAAAACGTGTATTTCTGACTCCCCCAGGTGTGGTTCCGAAGAGGCGTCAACTCTCACAATCCCTGCGGCACCAGCTGGATTGAGATGGTTGGTGAGATGCTGATGGTGAACGTGGGAATGAACGACCAGGTGTGCACAGGGGTCCGCAGCCCCTGAACAGCAGGGGTCTCCAGATGGAGGCTCCTCATGCCACAAAATAGCCCGGTGGCCCCTTCCCACTCTAGGAGCTCATGATGGCGGTACAGCAGGGGTCCTGGCACCTCTGCACGCTCTCAGCCCACGAGGATTCCCAGGGGCTGGTTCTGCCAGGGTCCTGGGGCCCTCGCTCAGGTCAGTTTCCTAAGGCCTCAGAGTCATGAGCACGGATCTGGCCTGACAGGTGGCAAGAAGGGGTTCCTGGAGATTAGAAGGTTTCCTTGAGAAATGTTTAGGTGAAATCAGGTGCGATGGTCACCAAGTGAAGGATGAAGCTGACCCCCTAACGTGGACTCCAAGGACAGAGCTTCTCTCTCTTTTTTTTTGTTTTGTTTTGTTTTGAGACGGAATCTCGCTCTATCGCCCAGGCTGGAGTGCAGTGGCACAATCACGGCTCACTGCAATCTCCGCCTTCCAGGTTCAAGTGATTCTCCTGCCTCAGCCTAACAAGTAACTGGGATTACAGGTGCGCACCACCACATCTGTCTAATTGTTGTATTTTTTTGTAGAGACGGGGTTTCACCATGCTAGCCAGGCTGGTCTCGAACTCCTGACCTCAAGTGATCTGCCCGCCTCGGCCTCCCAAAGTGCTGGGATTAGAGGCATGAGCCGCCATGCCCAGCCTCTTTTAAGAATCACCTGCACAGTTTCACAGTGTGGCCTTCTCAGAGATAATGAGGATTGGGGACTTTTAAGACTCAAAGGGTGGGCTGGGCACCGTGGCTCACGCCTCTAATCTCAGAACTTTGGGAGGCCAAGGCAGGCGGATCATCTGAGGTCAGGAGTTCAAGACCAGCCTGACCAACATGGTGAAACCCCATCTCTACTAAAAATACAAAAATCAGCCATGTGTGGCGGCACATGCCTGCAGTCCCAGCTACTCAGGATGCTGAGGCAGGAGAATCGCTTGAACTCAGGAGGCAGAGGTTGCAGTGAGCCAAGATTGCTCCACTGCACTCCAGCCTGAGCGAGACTCTGTCTCCAAAAAAATTAAAAAAAACAAAGGGTTCAGCCCCTTGCTGTCAAGGAGAGCCCCCCACTCCATTACACTGAGCAAGAAGTTCTTTCTGAGGTGCCAGGCTTCCCTCTGCTGCCACGCCCTCCTCCCACCCACCCTGGTGGCACAGCACCCAGAGGACAGGGAGGCACCTGCTAGTGCACAGGGGTGCTGAGTCCAAGGCGACTCAGCTGAGTCTGAGCCGAGCCTGCCAGGGCCAAGGGACAGAGATGCTGCCGCCTACCTAGCCAGGCCACCTGAGCCCTACTTCTTACCCAAAAGCAGAGAGTAGGATGCCTACCCAGAGACCTTTTCCATGGAAAGTGAGGTCAGAATTAGGGTGGTTACTTTGCATCTTAAAAAAAAACACCACGGCCAGGTGTGGTGGCTCACACATGTAAATCCCAGCACTCTAGGAGGCTGAGGTGAGAGGATCACTTGATCGTAGGAGTTTCAGACCAACCTGGGCAATATAGTGAGACCCCATCTCTACAAAAATTAAAAAGTTGGCCAAGTGTGGTGGTGTGCACCTGTAGTCCCAACTACTCAGGAGGCCAAGGCAGGAGGATTGCTTCAGCCCAGGGGGTCGAGGCTGCAATGAGCCACGATTGTACCACTGCACTCCAGCCTGGGTGACAGAGTGAGATCCTGTCTCTAAAAAAAACCAAAAACATTCCGGGCGCGGTGTCTCACGCCCGTAATCCCAGCACTTTGGGAGGCCAAAGCAGGTGGATCACCTGAGGTCAGGAGTTTGAGACCAGCCTGGCCAACACGGTGAAACCTCATCTCTACTAAAAATACAAAAATTAGCTGGGCGTGGTAGCACGTGACTGTAATCCCAGCTACTCCGGAGGCTGAGGCAGGAGAATCGGTTGAATCTGGGAGGCGGAGGTTGCAGTGAGCC